GGGATGTTGCATCGTTATGGTGGTGGTTGATCGATTCTCTAAGTATGGGATCTTCATTCCTTCTCCGGCAAAGTGCCCAGTGAAAGTGGCTGCCCCCTTGTTCCTAAAACATGTGGTGAAGAATTGGGGGCTACCTCGATCCATTAAGAGCGATTGAGATGCTCGATTCACACGAAAATTCTAGTCCGAGTTGTTCGAGCTATTTGGGGCCGGACTTGAGCTTCTCCACTAGTTTTCATCCTCAGACAGATGGAGAAATAGATTGGGTGAAAGGCTTGTTGGAGATCTACTTAATGCACTATGTGAGTGCTAATCAACAGGATTGGGCAAAGTTGCTTGACATAGACCAATTTTCCTTTAACTTGCAGCGGAGTGAATCTACGGGAAGGAGTTCGTTTGAGATTGTGTTTGGTAGTCAACCCCTCACTCCGAACAACATTGCAACGGGCTTCAAGGGAAGTAGTCCAGCGGCCTACAAGTTTGTTAAGGGATGGCAAGAACAGAACGAGGAACCACGTTCATGATTTAAATAAGGCTGCAAAGAGGATGAAGAAATATGCCGACAATAAGCGAAGACACATGTCCTATGAGATTGGAGACTTAGCCCTTGTCAAGCTGTCTACACTCAATCGGCATAAGGAATTGCACAAGAGCTTGATAATGAAGTATGAGAGCCGATTTCCGGCTATGAAGAAGGTGGGAATGTTGCCTATTAGGTTGAAATTCTCCCAACCCTCCACTACCATCTGGTCTTCCACATGAACTTGTTGAAGCCATATCACGAGGATGCGAAAGACCCGAGCCATGGGAGATCAAGTTGAGCACTTGTCGGAGTTTGACAAGCAGGCTAAAGAGATATTGCGGGATAGGATGGCTAACAATCAGAATGCCTAGAGTACTTCATTCGCTGAAAGGGCTTGTCTGAAAGCGAATGTAGTTGGACACCAGCAAGAGGATGTTGTGGCAGCTCTAGAGCACTTCAAGAGGAAGAAAGTGAAGCGATGAGGACATCATCAAGATGAGTGGGGGAGAATGTCACTGACGACTTCTTCTCTCGCCAGGTCAGCACTCACATAAGCGTCCCAACCGCCTGACTCTAGAATGGTATTGTATTTTCTTGTATATTCTTGTAAACGAGATATTTGTATAGAATTCTCTAAAGAATCAATATTAGCTATTGGATGTAACGATTTCTTTAGAAGGAAAATCTAGGTCATTCATGCAAAAGGAACCTCCCCTATATAAGGAGGCCAAGGAAAGCTCATTTGTAACCCAGCAAGCTTTGAGTAATAAAATTCTCGAGTTCCTCTTAAAGTTCTCTTGCTTTCTTGAGTGCTCGGTTCGGTAGCCTGAACTTAGCCAAGTGCTACACGGGAAGACTAACTTGTATGCCAAAACAAAGCGCCCGTGACACGATCATAGATTGCTTTCGATAAATACATCATGTGGAAGAATGAACTTTGCCTAGTATTCATCATGAAACCCCACAGGCATTAGTGAGAGGTTTGGCATTGGTATAAGTTCAATATTACTCCAGCTACGTTGTGGGAATTTTTTTTCATTATGTTTTTTTCCCCCACACAAATTAAACGTCTTTCTTATAGAAAAAAATACATAGAAAGGCATAAGCGCTCAACTACTAATTACAAATCAACCCAAGTAGCACACAGTATAATCAATCAAAATACAGACTACATAAAAATCAGTAGAATCACAAATTTCAAACTAAATGAGTAGTAGTAGGAAAGTGTAATTAATGTTAGTTATTACTCCAATTTGATTTTAAATAAATATAAGGGCGACCTATATAGGAATCGGTTTAAGCCACGTTGCCTCGTCACTAATGCATGGTTGTTTCAAAATTTAACCCCACAAATTGACAGATGAGTGGCCATTGGCTGCGGTAGACAACCCTCCTTATCGATCCGTTTTCGTTGCTTCTCAATAATTCAGTACCGTCACTGTTTGCTCCACGATTACAGCGGAGCAGTCTACTTGGGATTTTGAGCTGAGGAGCGAGGCACATGCACAAAGGACATAAGAGGCGAGCAGCAAAAGAACAAAAGCAGTGTATATCCTGCAGGCCTCTTTCGATCTGCTGAGAGACATGTGACCGAATTAAGGTTTAGTTTGTTTCAAACTGATGACTACCTGGTATATATCCACGAATGAATATATTAATATCGTTTTTGCGATCGTATGCATGCTTCCAATCATAACAGTTTATTATTAATTATTATTATTATTATTACTGACCGTTTCAGGTAGAAGAGTGAAGCAACCGGCCGATGCATCTGGCAAAGCGTTTTCAGGATCTGGCCACAAAGAAACAAAGAAGCGGATTAAAGCCAAACTGATTGCGTAGGACGCCACAAACAATAGACCGCGCGACTATCTAAACAACAATTTAACCGCGAACCTATCGAATCGGGCCGGCCAATAGTTCATTGGGCACAAATCTGAAAAAGAAATGATAGAGGCACACTCTAAGGCACACTCACCAACCATACTCCCTCTCTCTCTACAGTGCGCAGTAAACCTCACATGTGATTTTAAAATATATATATATATATTATTATATATATATATATATAATATATATATATATATTATATTTTTTTGCTGCACTCGAAGTGCGGAGAAAGTATATAAGATTTCTAGAAAAGAACGGAGGGAAATGAAAGTGCAAGGGGAATTGTTCTCTACAGTTTGTCTACCAAAAGAATGGAGTGAAATCGAAGATAAAAACACAGCATTTTTCTCCTACAAGATTTGTTGTGCGTCCCCCAATGAGAAATTGCAACAAAAAGCAACCTGCAATTTTTTCGAACTCAACAGGATAAATCAGTAATCAACCCCGTAGAAAGAAAAAGCAAGCTTGAGCTAGAATAGACAGTGAGAATCGACCCGCGAAGGAATAATTGGGTTCGATTTTCTTGTCACTAAACTAATAATAATAATTGAAGATATCTTACGCTCGCCTCATCTGCTTATCAACTCGTTTTGTCCCACAGATGGAAAGTTGGAAACCATCCATGCATGATCCCAAAAAAGAAAGAATGCCGGTAACATAAATATCGGAAGCCGTATTAAATAAGAATAAATTAATTAAAAAGATTTAGAGTCAGAAGCATCACGCACGCTAGTTGATAGAGCAAGTAGCCGTACTTCAATTCAAAATTAACGATACTCTGATGGATCAGTGGCTGGCGAATAAACTAATCATCCAAATTAAAAGCTATCTAATCATCGGTTAGTTTGCAATGCGAGAATTAACATGTATACATACTTCTCCCCCCTTGATTAATGAATTGACAACTTCAATATTTGAGCCAGTTGCTTTCAAGCACAAGACGTGATGAGGTGCTCTTATGGTGACGTAGTGATGATTAAGCAGGTGAGATATAAAGTTAAAACAAGCTAACCGATTAATCCAACGAACTGTATAGCCCAGTTTCATATTGGAAAGTCTTCCGCATTATAATTAAGAAAAAAATCTTTGTATTCCTTTAATTTCTTTTTTTTCTTTATCCATTTGAAAGGCATCTCACCCTTTTCCTTGTTCTCTAAAATAAGCTAAACACGAAATGGTTGAAGCTGACCTTCTCTTCTCCAAACCAAACCCGTAAGTATTTGATTTCATCACATCCTCTTCAACCTAAACTTACAGATGCTGAAAGTCTCTCTTCCTTCTCGTACTTAATCCAAATATTATCAAACAATTTACCTTTGTGCGACGGTTTTTAAGTATCTTCAGAACCAAATTATCCAATAAAATATCCATTTTGACGTAGATTACATAATTTCATATGTAAGCTACTTATATTTCATCATAAGATTGTTAACGGCATGTAAAATGTAGGAAACTGAACAAAAGACGGCCGGATCAAGGAAAATATAACTAGAGCAACCATTAGCCAAGTGTGGTAAAACGTCAGGAGACTAAGAAAATGTTCATCCGTTTATTTCAGACTAAAATGCAAGTTAATAAAAGATGTGAATTTTTTTTTTTTTTTGAAAAGAAAAATAGTCATCTGAGAAAGTAAAAGTTTGAAAATAAGTAACGCCCTTTCATCATCTCTAAATACCAACAGATTCACATGAAAATTAAACTAGTTTTTACTAAGTAACAACAACTTAATAGCAAACTAATTAAAAAGGCTAGACAACTCATCATGTACCTGTAAACTCTTTCTTCTCTAATTTATTTTTCTTCTCTATCAGTATAGATGACCTCTTTTTTTAAAATATAGATCGGAATATAGCAAAAAGTCAGTAAAATACCACACAAAAATTAAATTAAAGTAGAAAAAAAAGGAGGGGGGGTTCTTGACTCGTCTAAAGGTTATTACACTACCTACAGAGATATAGCCAGAGTGACTGTCGTCTACATTACCTACGATATGTTTAATGTCTATATATTTAAATAAAATTAAGATGCGCGCTAGGCGGTGAGAGAGAGAGAGATATAAAAGCATATATAGCAAGTTGCATCCTGAGTCCACCACAAACAACACGAAGTACAGATTCATAGCACGCAGGTTAAAGTTAAACGACTCCCCAGCTCCACATGGGAGGGTTGAAGGAGACTTTATAACTCGGTGGAGTTGAATATTGTAGGCCAACTAAAGAACAGGTGGATAGTTGAAACTTTGAACGGGAGGAAATAAACAAACAAACAAATAAAATCCAGCTGTATAGATGCTGTCAACAAAGGATAAATACATGAGAAGCATGCTTGCGAAGAAGAAGAGCAACGAAAACATTACCGAAATTATCAACGCCCAGAAAAGAATTACCCCGATTCTCAAAGAGAAGAGAACAGTTCCATCTATCAGGGACCTGCAGAATAGAGAGCATGAATTACCGCAAGGAATTTGAATTTGATTCCCTACAGCTCCAACATCGAAAAATTAGGATGACCGTGGAAACAAATACCGAACTGAGTCGGCCAGTTCATTCTGGACTCTTGACGGCATTCATTCGATCAAACAGCGAGCTACTCGAAACAAATTGCTCTTTTTTATTATCTCCCCAGGAGTTGAGCTTTCAAAATTACAACCAATTACATCGGTGAACCTTGGCAATACACTACAAGCTGAAAAACACACAGGAGAAAGAAGAAGAAGAATAAAAAAAAAAAAAAATCAATAACCGCTCCTTAGCGGATGCCATTTTTCAAGCCAAGCGGCCCACATGCAAAAGCCTACAATCGACCATTCCATATGCTAACTGCCTACAGGAATATACAGCGACATCTGCAATCATCAATTTCTGTCAATTCAGTCCTCCGAACTCTCCTCCGTAAAGGCATGGTCGTTTCTCTCCTGCTTGCCTATTTTGACACGGCCGTCAACCTTACTGCTTGACAAAGATAAACCCAGAGAAGATAAGCCCATCGCAACTGCTTCAACATCTATGAAGGCACCACCGTAAAGACCCTGGCCCACATCAGCCACTACATCGCGGTTGCTCCCCTTCACAGATCAAACAAATGAGTCAGAGAGCGAGAGGACTTCATTTAGAGTCCAAACAGGACAAAGATGTTTCGGACTCCAAAATACAAGGGCAAATATTAAAATACACTCACAGGAATAACTGTTGCATTGTGATTCATTCCGTCAGTCCCCGGAATAACAATCATTGGCTTTTGATAAGTAAATTTTGGTGTAGATGCCATAAGCATCCTAAGCGTTTCCCTCGCACTGTTTTCCACCGCAGACTCTGTGCTTGAGATGAGAGGATGGTTTACAAAGCTCGGAAGCAAAGGCGGCATGACTGAAGACATTGCAGGTCCAGCACTCACAAGGTATCCTTGGCCAGAGGAGCAAACGTCGATTACCGGAGTGTGCACAATTGGATCAGACATGTACCCGGAAAAGGTTGAAATTTGTTGGGAAGTTGGTAATGTAACAAATGAGGTGACAGGAATCGAGAGACGAGCAAAGGATTCAGGGAAAAGAGAAGGAAGGTTTATCGTTGGCAGACTAGGAATACTGAGTGGAACACTTGATGTAACTAGAGAGACGGGAGGCACAGATGCTGACAACAAGGATGATAGAGGTGGAAGAGGCATAGACTCATTGAAAGTAATGGGCAGACGAGAAGGGGCTGCAGGATACTGAAGTGCTGATGGGCAGGGGGGACACAAACAGTAATACGGCGAGAATAGAGAATTTGAGGAACTAATGAGGGATGAAGGGAGGTTGAGGAAAAGAGGGATCGATGAGGAAGGAGAAGAGGATATACAATGCATTTCAGAAAGAGTAACAGAGGGCAGAAAGCTGCAGCTGTCGCTGTCGCTGCCCCTGACAGTTTCATCTTCAGGTTGGTGGCTAGATTGGGTACATGAAGTTGATACAGTAGGTATAGATGGCTGGCTGATGGACAAGAAGCTAGAATTATGAGTATCCCCCCGGCGCTTAAGTTTCTCTTTTATATTGTTTCTGATGGAGGAAGAACTTCTAGCAGTCCCATCCTTGAAAGTGTTTGGCCGAGGACTGAGACTGCCTTGGTGTGAGGGTTGTCCCTTTGTTGTATGGGCTGCTGTAAACCGGCAGCGAGAAGACTTTGAAAACAAGGGTGGAGAATGGAAGTACGTGTCTGATGCATGTACACCTGCAGATGATTCACCTGACAAAGAAAGTAGATCAGCTTCTGCTGTGTTCGATGAACCAAGAAGGTATGCCCGGATGTGGGTTGCAAAAGAATCAAGGCGTGATTCACAAATTCCAGTCAGACGAGCTAAAGACGGCTTCCTCCTCAGTAGATTCTTCATCTGCACCATAAACAGAATAAAAACGTAAGAATTTTGTAAATGTAGACGCAATGGAATAAAAAGTTCTCAAACCAAACCCTGTGAAGTATGAAGCACATAATAATCAGTGAATGGGGCAAAAGCAAGAGCCTCCTAGCAGAGCTAAGCATCCTAAACCGTAGTTTCTCTCCTACAAGATTACACGTACTGGTGGTTGCAGGTGGTGCAAGGTGATAATGGTAGGCTAAACAATTATCAGATAGTATGGCAATTTTCATCCTTCTTGCTCATTTTTTTTTTAATCTGGTTCTTACAGCATTCGCTTTGCTGAAAGTGCCCGTGTGGCCATAGAAATTTGACAACTACTTTCGCAGGTTGGAGGCTGGTTAACCTGCAAAGAAAATCGTGTGCAGACAAATCAAAGGAATCTAGCAGATTTTTCTTTCCTTTTGTTATTATTTGTTTCCATTTTCCTAAAAGTCAGGAAAGGTACAAATAATCACAAATTTGCTTCACATAAATGAAAAATACATTGAACCTTTTTAGGTCACAGTAACTAGCCTTGAGAGTAAAACTGTGGGATTCTGCCTAAGTGAAGAGAAAAGGAAATAACTCCTTTTCTTTAATGATATAACTGATGTTATTGCTGTGTAAGACCCCTCGTATGTGCATGTAACTTCCAGAAAAAAGATGATGTGAAAGACCTTTGCAAGGAGCTCCATTCCACGATCATTTGACTTCTCCGAACACCAAAAATACAACACTTCTGATCCCGGAAGCTTTATCAAAAATGAGCGACCAGAAGTATCAGCTGAAATTTCTTCAACCACCACTTCAGAGGCCTCAGCAACATTACTCAGAACAGCCAATTTCTCAGTACAACCGTCATCCCCCGTGAATGAAATGCGCATATTAGATGAAGACAATAGACTTAGATTAAGATGCCCCCTGCACAAAGAGAGAATCTATAACAATCTTAGGGACAGTCATAAATGAATCTGTTAATGCTATACCAAAATATGAATAAAAGTAATAAACTCATCAAGATATTTTTCTACAATTATTACTGAAATCTGGAGACCTGGAAATCAACTATAGTATGAGAAGTTTAGCTAAATGTAACAATATACTGGTAAGTAAGAATGTCCTTTAATTACTAGAGCAGAAACTGTGCCACTCTAGGGATAAAGAAACAAAACGCAGATATGGTAAAGAGACAGAAAAATGAGACTATTAACACATTAACTCAATTTAGTCAATAACAAATCATTTCTTTCATAACTTTATATGTTAATTACTTAAAATTGAGACAAATAAACACATTAACTCAATTTAGTCAATAACAGATCATTTCTTTCATAACTTTATATGTTAATTACTTAACCCACTTTAATGTCATTGTCATAGAAGAACCTTTCATAACTTTATACGCTAATTACTTAAACCACTCTAAAGTCATAGTCATACAAGAACCCTAATTGTCGTTTCCTAATTACATAAGACTTGGTGGTGGCTTATGCATTTTAATGAAATTCTAATTACTCATAAATAAGATTAAACTGCTAAAAAATCTAATTTTAGTTCCAGGAAGGAGCAATATTTTATACCATATAGGGAAAATGTCTAATATATTATAACATTAGATGGGGTTATGAGGACTTAAGTAATGGTAAAAATCATATAGAAATTTTACAAGTATTTCTTACTATGATATTTCTCTCTCTAATTTTAATTATTTAATGCCCTAAATATGAGCAAATAAAATTACATAAATCATCCTTAGGAAGAAATTGTTGACTTGCATAGAACAAACAACAAAGTAAACTGCTTATAGGAATACTAATAAGGTTGCTGGCTTTTCATCCTCAGGGATCAATATCTAGCTCCAAGTATCAACTCTAATTCTAGTATCCATATTTAGACTCAACAAGCAACTGAACATGGTTTAAAGATCCATAATTCTGGTTGTCTTCATATCAGCTTATTGGGCCCATTTTCACGCCTATCCTTCAAGCTGTCTAGAAGATTGAGTCGAAACTCCAGCATAAGCTCGATTTCATTTATAATTTCCCCATTTTCTGGTGCACAATCAATGGGTAACCTCCTCAGCATATAACCACCAAAATCTTCCCCATAAAAGCATACTTTGTTGCCAAGTGAGGAATACGAGATCTAACAAATTAACACCCCCCTCAACACCTCCAACTCCCTCCCCACCCCCACCCCCCAACATGCACACAAATCTAACAAGGTTGATGAAGTAAAAGATGGAATTGATATACAGCCAAAAAGAAATCACAATTCTGCAGAAGAAAAGTTTTACGAAAACAAGTTTGCCAGGCTTAAAAGTAATTTGGTGAGATATATCTAAACTGAAGTAGTGAAACTGTCACTTAGCAAAAGATGATACACTTATGATAGGTAAAAAAAACAAGGGAAAATGTCAGCATATTAGTAATATCAGACAGTACATTTCACCAAACCACTCATATAAGCATGAAACTTGATGTATTTGGGTAACATGTTTGCAGCAATATCCCCGTGTCAGAGAATAAGCATCCAATTTTGACTTGCACAGATTTGGGATCTAGTCCAACTAATATAAGAAAGCATGAAATAAACCATCAGCTACTAACAATATATATAACTGAAAAGTTTCAGTATCTCATTGCCACCAAAATTTGCATACTACGATTTCCTATGAGTATTATAACACTAATAAACAGCTAGCAGACAATAATATTATAAGCCATGAAAGACTACCTCCTTTTCCTCACACATCAGAGATCATACAGGACACACGCCCATTATACCTACAAACGAAAAGACATTTTCATTTGGGAATATGAATATTATCATCATTGTTAAGCTTGATAGAAACTCACACTCATAGGTAAACAGCAATAGAGTAGGATATAATTTGCATCGATGTTGTGATAAGACAAAACTCAGGTGAGAGTTTCTAAATACTGCATTTTTTTCCCAGAAAATTGTCTATTAATGAAGTCATGCCCTCTCCATAAAAATTATTAGAGCTGAATCCATGTTTAATCCAAGTTTATACAGACATTCACAAAGTCTGAAACAAATAATTTAGAACAACAAAAAATATCCAGCATTGTGAAGATGAGGAAAAGAACAGCATATGGGTCAGCAAGGAACCTAAAAGTGGATAATATTCATATCCTTGAAGTTTCATTCCTTCCTATCCAAGCAAAAGATCTCTGTGAATGAATATAAATCCATATAGGAACTGTTAAGGTTTGAGAATAGATCCTTGAGGCATGAATTATCGTTTCTAAAGAGAAACAGAACCATAACAAAATGATTTTACTAAATTAATGATGCAAGAACGTCGGCAGACTATGAGAGAACTAGTGAATGGAAATTAAAACCATCATGCAGCCCGCACATTACTCAAATGCGGGAAAAGAGTGGCATGAAATTTGTCAATGTGGAAGTTAAGATGGAATCTACTATTATAGCAATGTTTTCCCAAGAAGATCCGTCTCTACATGTCTGAACAAGAGACATTTGCAAGTGAATATGAAACCAATATATGAAGTTACAAATTGTGAACGCCAGGATAATAGATCCTTGAGAAATTAAATAATTTAAGCAACAGAATCACAATAAGCTGATTATATGAAATGAATAATGCAAGAAGAGTTGCACAGGCTGAAATAAACAGTACATAACAATAAGAACTACCATGCAATTTGGGACAGGAGAGATGGGGAAAAGAGGGCATGTGATTTGTCTGTGGAACTTAAAATGATTGTGCATTCATAACATTCTTTATCCCACAAGGTCTACTCCTACTTATCCAAGAAAAAGTACACGCACATGAATGACAAATCCATACAGCAATAGAAGGTTAGGAGCGTAGGTACTCAACAATTAAACTATTGCTTTCTGAAAAGCAATTAAACCATAATAAAGTACCACTATTAAAAGAAAATTGCAAGAATTGACTAAAATTGTGCGATGAATAGTGTAACATTAAAAACTACCCTACAATTATACAGATTAGGAAATGGAAGGCAAGCGATTAGTCAAGACTTAAAGACAGATTGTACATTTATACATTCTTTATCCCAGAAGGTACTTGCCTACCTATCCGAGTAAAAGATACTAGAAAATCGGGGGAGAAGCCACAATTTTCTTCCAGCTTGGACATTCTCAAACAAGTGTTGTTCTAGTTTGTTTTGGCACAAAGAAAAATTCTGCATAAGGAGTTGCAGTAAATTTTCAACAAACGTAGGAATATCTAAACCAAATTACCTTATGTTGAGATATAATCCGTTGGAAAGATCCATGTTCTATTGAACTTCTGGACGATGTAACTGAGAATTGGGTTTCATGCTATGAATTTCAGGCTGAGTACCTCATACTCTTGTTAACATTCTTCAGAATATGTGTGTGTGTGTGTGTGTGTGTGTGAAACCTATTCGCTTCCAGATTGGGCACTAGCTAAACTGGATAACACTTCGCTCCGCCCATGTTGCAAATAAAGATAACATTGAAACAGAATTAGAAGGTTAGGGGCATGGTACTTGAGAAGTCAAACTATTGCTTGCTCAAAAGCAATGGAAGCACAAAATTAGCCTTATTAATTTAAGGGGTATTAGAAAAGTTTGTTCATGGTCACTAAATAATGTATACATCTATAGGTTTGATCACTGTCATGGCTGCTTCAAATGATGTCTAAAGTTCCATGCAAGTCTTCAAAAAAAAAACACGACGGCAAATTTCAAACAATAATGCACATCTACACGCTCTTCAAACAATAATTCACACCTACATGTACGCCCGCCCGCCGCCCGGACACGCACCCACACGAAATACCAGAAAATAGTAATATATGAGCAGATTAAACTGTGATGGAAACAAATTTGCATGTCAAATGCACAAAATCAGGTAGACAACTACAAATAGCTTACTTCCAGTTACCTTGTAGCAGTCGGGGACAAAAGGTTCCCTTGCTTCTTAACCTTCCCTACTCGAATAGATACCAAAGGAATGCACAGACATCGGGCAAGCATCCCAACTTCTGATGCATCAAAATGCTGTTAAACAAGAAAGCAAGACTTCATAATCAAGGAAAGTGTTAAACATATATAATCAAGGAAAGTTTTAAACATCCAAAGAATATGTTAGGGTCATGTTCATAACAACATCACTGAGTGATACACTAGTTTATCATTATTTGACATCATCATCAAAGCAGAAACAGTCGATCAAAGAGGAAACTGGTATCTCGGTTATAAAGATGTGGTTATCAAGGTGTTATCCATTTGTGTCAGAGCACGCGTAAATCCCGAATGCCAAGGGTTCGTTCGGCGCAAATTGTCCTTTAGGTCGTTTTGTTTTACACAATGACTCCAGCAGCTTTAACCCCAAGGCTAACATCAAAGTTCCCAAATGAAGATACAGGCATAAACCACACGATACCTAGATCGACATATATATAATATGACACCAAAACTAAATAGAACTCAGAAGAAGAGGAGGAGGGTCAATGGGCAAAGAAACGCACGAACCTGGCCTAATCGGGCGAGAAGCCTGTCTTCCTCAACTCCACTCGAGATGTTGAGCTTAAGCAAAGGCTTCAACCTCTCATCAGCACGGCAAGCGCCGAGAACCTGAAGATCGAGCGCTCTCAGCCACTGCGCAATCCCATTCTCAGCATCGCTCCGATCGAGCACCAGATCCTCATCGGGTTCGCCTAAAAGCGCATCCCTTAACCTCTCCGTTAAACCTCCGGCGGTCCTCGATCCCGGCAACGGATCGGGTCGATCTCCGCGATCTGAGCTCTCGCCTTCTCTCTTGGGCGCAACCATCGCTTCGATTGATCGGGTAAGAGAGTAAGAGCAATACGAAACCCTAGCTCGAAATTTCGTCCGCAGAGTTTATTTGAAGCTAGAAAAGATGAAAGAGGAAAGGCAAAGGCAAACGAGGTGGCAATCGGAGGGCAGTCGGTCGCGTGGTTATTTATGGAAGGAGCGAAGAGACCCGCGGACTCGACTCGGTTCTATCCAAAGGACCTGTGTGGGAGTTCGCGTCCGTGTTGTGGTCCACGTCAGCGCCTAATCACGTAACGTTATGGGACTTGTCGGTGACAAGCGAAAATGATGGTCGGTGAAAAGTGGCCGTGATTTTATGGTGAACGGCTCTTGGAGGCCCAAAAAAGCACCTGCCTCGGATCCACGCACAAAGTCTGTATTCCGTTGTCGAGCTACAAGATAATCGCCACTAATAAATAGTTGTTTGGCTACGGTACAGCTAAAGCCTTCGTGAGGTTTGTTAATTCTAGTTTTCTTGACATATCTTCGTTAAGAAATCTAATTCTACTAATTCATGGGCCTCTTGAGGCGATGTGCGTCATGGATCCATGAAGTGCAACGTATAGTTTGGTCTCCACTCGAGATGTTGAGCTTAAGCAAAGGCTTCAACCTCTCATCAGCACGGCAAGCGCCGAGAACCTGAAGATCGAGCGCTCTCAGCCACTGCGCAATCCCATTCTCAGCATCGCTCCGATCGAGCACCAGATCCTCATCGGGTTCGCCTAAAAGCGCATCCCTTAACCTCTCCGTTAAACCTCCGGCGGTCCTCGATCCCGGCAACGGATCGGGTCGATCTCCGCGATCTGAGCTCTCGCCTTCTCTCTTGGGCGCAACCATCGCTTCGATTGATCGGGTAAGAGAGTAAGAGCAATACGAAACCCTAGCTCGAAATTTCGTCCGCAGAGTTTATTTGAAGCTAGAAAAGATGAAAGAGGAAAGGCAAAGGCAAACGAGGTGGCAATCGGAGGGCAGTCGGTCGCGTGGTTATTTATGGAAGGAGCGAAGAGACCCGCGGACTCGACTCGGTTCTATCCAAAGGACCTGTGTGGGAGTTCGCGTCCGTGTTGTGGTCCACGTCAGCGCCTAATCACGTAACGTTATGGGACTTGTCGGTGACAAGCGAAAATGATGGTCGGTGAAAAGTGGCCGTGATTTTATGGTGAACGGCTCTTGGAGGCCCAAAAAAGCACCTGCCTCGGATCCACGCACAAAGTCTGTATTCCGTTGTCGAGCTACAAGATAATCGCCACTAATAAATAGTTGTTTGGCTACGGTACAGCTAAAGCCTTCGTGAGGTTTGTTAATTCTAGTTTTCTTGACATATCTTCGTTAAGAAATCTAATTCTACTAATTCATGGGCCTCTTGAGGCGATGTGCGTCATGGATCCATGAAGTGCAACGTATAGTTTGGTTCTGTTTACTGTTAAAAGTGGCTAGTCAATATTACATTTGGCTCTCAAAACCCATCATTTAAATCATTCAATCGCTCAATCAATATCCGATACGATATGATACTCAACTTAGGACATCATGATTATCATTTAATCATTCAATCAATATTTAACGTGCGACTAAATCTTAAGACATCAAATTAAGTACTACTATCTAGGGTATATAGTAATATAAGTATATAACCAATATGCTATATAATGCATCGTTCTGTTAGAAAAATAATGGCCTCTATAGAACCAAACGGTAGGCATTTTTTAAGGCATGCATAAAGAGAAGTTGGCCTAGGCATATGGGACTAAGAAAGAAATATAACCCACGACTAAAAGTTATTTGTTGAATGAAATACATATCAATTTCCGTGTTTTCTCTGATAAAGTTTGTATTCATGGATTTCATGGATGTGATATCAGTAATCACATGTAAGTTATAACAATATAGATTTTGATGGGTATGCCTAGGCATGTTGTTATGGTGTCTTTAGTCGCTAAAGTACGATCTTTTACCAGCAACGGACAAGTGACCCCCTACGTGCACCGCTCAAATCGAATTAATAGTCGGGACCACCAAGAATTCCAACATTAGCCAACTCACTGAGTCGACATTTCCTTAGGTCGAGATGAAGGGCGGTACTTGTCGGTCCTCTTGTCGAAGACGACTTGCTACGAGCCCACTCGACCAGTTGTTCAACACCTTACGAGGTCGACTTGAAAGACTTACTTCTCGATCAAGCTAAAAGGACAACTTTAACCTTGAGTCTCTCTTGCTGACAACGCGTCGGCGTCACATTAAATGCTTGGTAGCCGTTGTCATTCCTCTAGTCTCGATAGTCTTCATGACACATCGGACCACGTCGTCACAGTCATGCCCTCAATCACTTCATCGGGGTGGCCTCTTCTCCACTCGTAAAGTAGGTGCTGACGTAGTCGCCATGCTATACTCGTTTGTCACCATCATATACTCGGCCGAGATTATCATTCTATCATTTTTCCACCACTATAAATAGAGGTATTATTCTAAATACCAAAGTAAGCAATGAGGTATTATTCCAAATAACAAAGTAAGCAATCTTTGAGAATTTTATTGCACTACACTTTAGAACTCACACAATTCTTTATTTTCTCACTCGAGTCCATCAACTGACTTGATCGTCGGAGGAACAACGGGGAAACTAGTCTATGTCCTCTCACGAATTTCTATTTGTGCAGGCTGAAGCTACTCAACTCAAAATCAGATATTCGAAAAAGTTAGCAGCTCCCTAATCAACCTCAACCATATTATATTATCTGTCTGATTATTAACATCAACACTTGTCCATTCGAGTCCAAGGCCCGTACCCGATCAGCCCAGCGTTAATCTCGGTCCTCGGAAAAGCTCGGGTTTTCGGGCCAAACCGGTCTCCGGTCTTGGGTCCGAGTTGGCTTGATGCAACCCACACTGGGCCCGGGCCCGGTCCGACTAGGAAAACGACCAGGCTGGAGTATGCGGGTTCTGGTCTAGCTCGGATCCGGTCTAGGACCCACCCGGATCCGGTCTGTTCCAAAACGATAAAAAAAACTGACCGTTAGACTAGGCATCCTGGACCTGGCTTGGACCTGTATCGGTTCGGTCTACCCGAATAACCTAAAACCGACTATGTTTAAGCAATTTTTTAAAAGGGAAAATAATCGGGCAGACTCGGTGTTTTTTGCCCGTTCATGCCCGGATCTAGACCTGGACCCAGTTCGCCCACCAGGATACGGATCGAGGTCACCCATTTTGTCCAATCCAGACCCAAATTTCCGGGTGGGACCGGCTCAAATGAACAGGCCTAGTATGCCCAATGGAAGATCATATGACAAATATTAAGAACTTTGGATTAGTGTGAATATCGAAAGGATATTATTCACCTCATTTTTATAATGTTGTGATGTGATGGAGAACAAGAGAAGTCTAAATATAAGATTCTAAAAATAATTACATAATTAATTACTCAACAATACTATCAAAACCATGCTTGTTTTGTACCTGACAATGAGTGAGAATGGAATGCCAATTTACAATTCCCATTCGTTCATATCAACACACAACTTATTCTCATTCTCACTTCTTTGTGTTTTTTAGTTCATTCTCACTTCTTATCGATCAGTTTAATTTCATTATCTATTCCAAACTTGAGAATTTTCATATGTTTTGTATTATGTATTTGTATATTTTGTATTCTACTTTTACTTCATTTCCATTCACCCATGACTAGATTCATACATACTAAGGAGGGAATATGCTCGTGACAAAACGAACGAACAAACAGAGCCGAGCCGTGGAGGTCCAGGTGGGCCAAGCCTATCCCAAACCAACCCTCCGTCGAAAAGGCGCACTTATTTCCGTCCACTCGCCTTGGCCCAAAAGATCTCTGCACTAAAAAAAAGAATATCTTCAGGCCTCAACGAACAAGAGCAATCCAACTGGGCCTACGAATGGGCCCCACTCTCTTCCACCCAAAAGGCAGTTGATATATCAAGCCTGGTTTTTCCGGAGATCCGAGCCCACCGAAAGAACAGAGCCGGCTCTAATGCTTCGTGGGGGTAAGCGATGAAAATGAGGGTGGATGTATCACCAATTTTCTCATATAAAAATCCCACAAATATCCGTTCTGAGCAAAAGCAGCAGCCGTTCACTGACTGTTTCCTGCCTTAAAAAAAGAGAGCCTTGAAGGTGAGTTCTAATCTTCTATCCCCCTGAGATTTTATTCTTCTTCGAAATCCGTGGTCAATTTATTTTCTTACAATTATTGATTATTATACTCTGTTGGTTAGGATACGTTATTGTTTAGGAATTATTTATATTTTCTTCCAAAATCAGAAGACAAGATCTGGACTGCTCAAACTTTGTAATCAAATTGAAGGATCAAATACCAAGTTGGGTCTGAATGTAGATTGACTAGATAATTCCTAAACAAATCTAGTTGCTTAAGGCCCCCTTACAATCTGCGGGTTGTCCCCTGTGCAATCGAGTATGGTAATCTAATTTGATTTTAATTAGTAAAGGGGTCTTATTTTACCATTATTTTAGATACTCGAGTCTTTATTCAGATCATTCTGATGTATCTGAAATGATTGATGCCTAGATTTCAAGAAACTGCCATGAGGTTTTAGCGAATTATTGAGAAATTACCGTGACGTTTGTTTGTTTTAGATACAGTCATGAAGTTTTCAGACACTTACCTCTATTAATATTGTTTATTTAAATGATCATGTGACTCACATTTGATGCTATCTACCAACACTAGGTTACTCCCTTAACTCTTCAGAAATCTCTAGGAAATAATTAAATATTAATTACTGCCACTGTTGCGCTTGTTTTACCGAAAATTACGTTTACCATATGACGATTGACATCAGAGATATATTTATATAGAATAAATCCATAAAATGTGTACAGTTAATATTTATCGGAGTGGATTTTGTCGTGTCCAAATACAATAATCTGTAAGTGCATATAAATTTAGATAATCAAATATATCTGATGGATGTATAGCTATCTCTAAATCCAATCAACTGGATTGCATACAGGGTATTGTTTTTCTGATATCTCCTCAATTCTCACCCTATATTAGCTAATAATTACTGGTACATGTTGATACTGGCTAGTTATAATTAGTACACAAAAGTGACATGAGATCCGGCGGACGAATAGTTGATTTATATGTTGTATTAGGAAAAGCTGATAACAGACTAATGGATAGAAATCTTGTGGTGAAATTGATTTATTTCATATAACAAACTTCTAGTCTAAAACTGTTTGAACCATTGAAACTACTAATATCAATAACTTAGTTGACACAATAATAGAATTTTAAATATTTATTTCTAGTTCACTAAATGTTAACTTCAGAATTCTAGTGAAGTATGCCATTGTTAAATCCTACTAGAAGCAGTGGAAATTATGTACTGATGCTTTTATTTTACATATGTTTTTATAAGTTACTTATATGTTTCCCCCAAATAGATGGCATCTGTTCACTCAGGATTATCTTCTGTGGTGAAGAGCAACCTTGCTGTCTCAAAATTGCCAAATTCTGCTTTTTTGCCTGGCTTTGAAAATAGACGTGCCTTGAATGTTTTGGTCAAGGAGGCCTACTTCAGTGCGAGGAATTCTAGGTCTACAGCGACATTAACCTTTGATCCCTTGGCCAATTTAGCAAAATCCAAGCAAAGGAAACATACTGTTGATCCTGCAGCTCCAGATTTTCTTCCCCTTCCTGCTTTTGAAGAATGCTTCCCCAAGAGTACCAAGGAGTACAGGTATTTCTTAATTGATTGTATTTGTAGAGGTACTCTGCTGATTCATTAAGTACAATGTACGATCATATTTCTATATTTGATTTGCAGGGATGCCATTCATGAGCATTCAGGCCATGTGCTTAAGGTTCCATTTCGCAGGATCCATCTGTCTGGGGAGGAGCAATACTTTGACACGTATGATACTAGTGGCCCGCAAAATGTCAGCCCACGTGTGGGTAAGAAATCTCACCTTTAGTTAATTTTGCCTGAATATTTTTGTTTCTGCACACCACTGTCAAATTTGAAACACAATTCTCTTATGTATCAGTAAAATGCTCCCTTTTAACAGTTCCTCATAGGATCATATTTTATGCCCACCTGTTTTGAATACTTTAAAATTTCATGCAAAGTTTTAAAAAGCCTCTGCCTACCCCCTAGGCTTACGCCTAGTCCTAGACAGTACATTGGCCGCCTACCTAGCGACGAGTGCCTAGGCGGTACCTAGACTGCCCACCTAGGTTTTGGGAGAGCCTAAGGGAGGGTGGTCTGTCTACATGGACTGCACATTTTAGGTATTGATCATGATTTCCTCCATTGCAACCTCCCATGTCCTTCAAACTTCAACTATGAACACGTTCTCCACCTCTCCCGACCTTCAACAAACTTCAACTATAAATACTAATCTTGCTTTCACAGCAATACCGTCACGGGCTACTAATATGTTACTTTTTTTTCCTGATTATTACACATTCTACACTTCGTACAACAAATTTTTTGTCTGTAATGCTAGTATCAATATTTTCTACTTAAACTTATTTGAAAAAAAAAATTTGGAATTTGAATTTCTTTTTGTAGTGTGCTGATGGTGAATAAATCTCATAGCTTGCCACTAAAATGCCAAAGCTTGTAAAATTAACTTGCTTTCTCTTTAATTCTGCAGGTCTTCCCAAGATAAGGAAAGACTGGATTGCCAGACGCGAGCAGTCGGGTGCACCCAGGTACACTCAAATGTACTATGCAAAGCAAGGAATTATAACTGAAGAAATGTTGTTCTGTGCTGTTCGTGAGAAGCTTGAGCCAGAGTTTGTGAGGTCAGAGGTCGCCCGTGGACGAGCAATTATCCCTTCCAACAAAAAGCACTTGGAATTAGAACCAATGCTGGTTGGGAGAAACTTCCTTGTCAAAGTTAATGCAAATATTGGAAATTCAGCTGTTGTGAGCTCTATAGAGGAAGAGGTGCATAAGCTTCAGTGGGCAACAATGTGGGGTGCAGATACTGTCATGGATCTTTCAACAGGGCGCCATATCCATGAAACGCGTGAATGGATCCTTCGTAACTCATCTGTACCAGTAGGGACTGTACCAATCTACCAAGCTTTGGAGAAAGTGAATGGCATTGCTGAGGACCTAAACTGGGAGGTCTTCAGAGATACTCTAATCGAACAAGCTGAGCAGGGTGTGGATTATTTTACTATTCATGCTGGTGTCCTTCTTCGATACATTCCTCTTACAGCTAAAAGAATGACTGGAATTGTCTCACGTGGAGGATCTATTCATGCAAAATGGTGCCTAGCTTATCACAAGGAAAATTTTGCGTATGAGCACTGGGATGAGATCCTTGACATATGCAACCAGTATGATGTGGCACTATCCATTGGCGATGGATTGAGACCAGGTTCAATTTATGATGCCAATGACACTGCTCAGTTTGCAGAACTTTTGACACAGGGAGAACTGACCCGCCGAGCTTGGGAAAAGGACGTCCAGGTATGTATGTTGCGTTCAGCTCCACTAAACTGTTCAGTGAGCACAAGCCCAACCACAAATTAAACGTTATTAGTTGGCTAAAAAGATCAATAGCTTCACATTTCTGTGCAACCATAGATTGCACTGTGCAGTTCATTTCTCAGAGCCATCATTTGCTTTAGTGTTCTTCAACCTGTGGATTTAGAAATCATGTTATCATTAATTTGGATGCGTTATTGTTAGGAAGGTCATGTTATCAATATTCCTTTGTTTTAGTGATTTTCAACCTGTAGATATAGGAATCGTGTTATCATTAATTTTATGTGTGTTATTGTTAGGAAGGTCATGCACTCTATATTTTTTTGCTTCTCCTAGGTGGGCAGTACATTTGTATAGTGACGATGTCAACCCTTTTCAGTGAATCTTATCAATTGGATAGAGCATATGGTATTGAATTTGGTTTATTCTTGACATGTCTTTCTTCGCAGTTTAACTTTTGTTGTTATCTAGGTAATGAATGAAGGACCAGGACATATTCCTATGCACAAAATTCCAGAAAATATGGAGAAACAGTTGGAATGGTGCAATGAGGCACCTTTTTACACACTGGGTCCTCTGACAACTGATATTGCCCCTGGCTATGATCATATCACCTCTGCCATAGGTGCTGCTAACATTGGAGCCCTTGGTACTGCTCTCCTTTGTTATGTGACACCTAAGGAACACCTTGGATTGCCCAATCGTGATGATGTGAAGGCAGGTGTCATATCTTATAAGATAGCTGCCCATGCAGCTGATTTAGCAAAGGGCCATCCTCATGCACAAGCCTGGGACGATGCCTTGAGCAAGGCCAGATTTGAATTTCGATGGATGGATCAGTTTGCTCTATCACTGGATCCTATGACAGCGATGTCTTTCCATGATGAGACCTTACCATCTGATGGTGCTAAAGTTGCACATTTCTGTTCTATGTGTGGACCCAAGTTCTGTTCGATGAAAATAACAGAAGATGTGAGGAAGTACGCGGAGGAGCATGGATATGGAACAGCAGAGGAAGCTGTGCAGCACGGAATGGATGCTATGAGTGCTGAGTTTTTGGCAGCCAAGAAAACGGTCAGTGGGGAGCAACATGGAGAAGTTGGAGGAGAAATATATGTACCTGAAAACTACATTGTGCGCCCTTGAAGGTCAGTAACTTAGACTAATTACTTTCGGAATTTAGGTGCTTGACGGCACATGTGAAGAGTTTATTTCTCATCCATTCAGATGCATTATTCCAAATACTTAACCTGACATTTCAATATCTATTGACCATGCTTCCAAATATCTGAGATGCAGAATCACCAATAACTCATACACGCATGCTTTAAGCTCGATATTTGTATGTTAACTATAATAAATATGTGTGGGTACATTCAGTTCCAGAAGATGAGGATGTATCGCCCCCTCCCTCCTCGACCTCTACTTATTATTTCTTTTCAAATAATTGTGGTCTCTTTTTAATACAAGTTAATGTTTAGTAGCTTAGCATCTAACAGCCAATACTAGCATCTGTTGTTTATTTTTCTCAGTAACCTCTTGTGAAGATACATAGCATGTTAGATAAGAACTTTTATTTTCCTGCCCTATGGCTTTAAGTAATGAATCTGTCAGGTATTTACTGGTGCATGCCTATTTTTCTTCAATTTATATTTCCACCATCAGTATTAGATTGTTACCACTTTTCCTCGAGGAACGCACTATAAAGAATCAAATATCATATATACATCGTGTGTGCTTTCTTTTTTGCATAGGAAATGATGGGGTTAAATGAAAAGAGGGAAAATAGAGATACAGTTACTACTTGATTGCTTCCATTCTCGCTACCTATAGTTAGGAATTTCAGGAACTTGGCTCCTGGAAAGTTTTCACTCATATTTTCCATTATTTAATTGGTCTTTTGATTCCCTCTGTAATTAATTAAGGGAATAAAATTTCTTCATGCACTTTCTTCTTTCCTCAACTTGCAACAAGACAAGCTCTTTAATTACAGAATCTTAGCTTTGACCATTTTGTATGAAGCCTGTACTGAACCTCCATTTGATGTTTTAAATTTCTAGTTGACTTAGGTTTAAGATATTTAAATAAGAAATGGCTATGCCCGTACATGCCCAATGCCAAGTTCTCCAATATAGGAGACCAACTCCTACTAATCGATACCGTGTCCTATGAGCATTACTTTATCACATTCACAAGTGAAGACTGATGGCTTTACCTTAACCTTGTGCCAGTTTGCAACTCCACTTACAGGTTGTCCTTTCCCCCCATTCAGAAGCACACTCTAATATATGATTTGTACTAATATTTTGCAGGAACAATCTATTTCTCCAATCTTTTGGCAGAGAAGCCGATTTGAGCTAGAAGCTTGAGTGTAGTCTGGGTCCATCAGTTGTCCAATGCTCCTTATTGTCAGTAGGTAAGGTAAGGTAGTTGAATAAGGCCTTTCTGCTTTCTTCAGTTTGACTATGTTATATTCAGAACCTTGTAGTAAAACCTGTAATAAACTGTACTTCTTGCTGTCTACCTTTTCATTTAGTCAACTCGATTATTGATGAGAAATTGCACCAGGGGTGCCAGTGTCTGTTAGTCTTGGCCACTTGGCCAGGAAATGGCAGATATGGCTGAGAAAGTCCCTTTGAACCTGAACAGGTTAATGCCTGCGTAGGGAGCGTGCAATAGCACCTTTTTTTTTTCTTTCTTGTTCAGGGATTCATCAAAAAGTTCGGACTAGCTGATTCTGAGCTGCTCTGCCATGGTGTTGCTGTTGTTTGAGAAGCTGTGACGGTTGGCAGGTCACCAGTCACCTGAATGCTTTCATCTGATCTGCTTTATTTATTGGGTAAATTTCACAAAACTACCATGAACTTCGGATGGTTTTGTACAAAACTACCACAAGCTTTCTTATCGAGAAAAATACATGAACTTTCAAAAGTGGAGAAAATAGCATGAAGTATTGAAACTTGTAGCTAATGCTTTTAATGGCTTGGATGAAGATCTAACTACCCTTGAATATAGGAGCGGGGGACAGGGTAATATACAAGATAATATATCAGACAAGGTTAACATCGTCTTAAATATGTCATGTGCAAATCACATGACAAACTTACCCTAATTGACGTAAGCATGATTGCGTATTAAAAAAAAAGTGAATGATGATTTACTTTAATAAAAAAATTATAGTAGTTAAACCATCCAAGTTCAATGGTAGTTTCGTGTAATTTCCTCAAATGTTTATTTTTTCTGCATTTATTTGTTTCCGTGCATGCAGGTTTGTGTACAGGTGTGAGAATGCTTGCGTGTTTGCATGCGTGCTCATTTTTATATGTTCACTTGTGCATGAGTGTTTTCCGTGGGCTTAGGTGTGGAGATTGGAGAGATAACCTTAGGTTCGAGGCAAAATACACAAAGCAAATGATTTAAACCTTCTAAGAAGTAGGATAGTGAGTTATAAGTAGCCTCTATTTCGAATGGGCTAACAATGTCCAGTTTGTCATTATTAATCCACCTTGCAACTTCTTTCTTCAATGGCTTGCGAGGTTTATATCTATAGCTAAACGTTGGGACGTTCTTTCCAGCTGAGTATCAATCTCTGTGTACAAAATACCTTTCGGTATGTGGTATTCTCAATATTGGTTTCTGCCATCTCTAATTTTTCAGGTGCATTTTGTTAGGAAGGGATAAAAAGCTACCTTCCTGTTCTCACCGGCAGCAATCTATCGCAACTGAAATGTCACCAGTAGTGTAATTCCACAGTAATAAGCCGCCTTGGTAAATCTTACTGGTTAAGCTAGTTTATGCATCACCGTGGCTTAAGCATAGGAATGTAGGTTGCCATTTGCCAATACTTTGAAGGCAAAATATGGATGTAGTTGGTTAACCATGTCATGCATTTTCACTGTAGTTAACAACCTTGGTGAAAATTTACACGTGATACTTTAAATGAGCAATGTTCGAAGACCTCCATGTCCCACGCTCAAAGAAGAAACTCACCCACCTTTTCACAACAGCCAGGTTAAATATGATGGTGTTTTTTTTTTGCAAATTAATGGAATCAGCGCGATGAGTATTGAGCTTCTTTTGTTGATGTGAGAAGTTGGGGGTCTTGAAGCGTTTGTCCTGTTTTTCCTTATGCTTTCTGCTTGCAAGTTCCGATTCCCCTAACATAAATACAGTAGATATTTGCTTATTTATTGTGACATAAACTCAAACTATTGAATTTCGATTATCAATGGAAATGAGAACCGGGAAGGGAGACTGTAGTGAGTTTGAGCAACCAAAAAGGAATCCTCGTATGATATTTTGGAAGCAGGAGGAAGGATGGTAGACTGCTGATTTGAATGGCATTCTAACCCCTAGTAAAACAAATAAATCCAACTGAGTCCAACCGAACACATTATCATAATCCTATCACTCCTAATTAGGAGGGCCGTTCGACCTTGTGTTTGTGCCTAATTCTTGCAGCAAGCGCAGTCTAGAGTCTTGACTATTAAACGAAATATTTTCGATTGATGAAGAAAGGTCTGTAAGCCAGAGAGGCGCAATGCTCTCATTAGACTCGTTTAACATCCTCTGTACTTACAGGGGTTTTGATAGTTAATTTCCTAAAAATATTGGTAAATTTATATGGTAGTCTTATATTATATCAAAGGTTTCGCAACATGAAAATTCTTCCCGAGCATGGTTCTCAACCGCTACCCACAAACAAGCAACGTGTTTTGCCTTGGAAGAAAAGAACCGGAATAAAGGGCACTCTTAACATCACAGATCAAGAAAGTTGGCTGCTTGGATTTATGTATTTATGTTGTACTGGTTTGTGTAATGAATTACTGGATCTTGATGTTTGTTTACAACGTAATGTAACCAAATAAGAAATTTGTTTTCTTGTTCAATCTTCAGGTGTTTTAGAATGCTTTTGCAGTTGCGCAAAAATATTTTCTATGTGAGCTTAAATCTCCTTGTTCCCTACGCTATTTCTTTTCCTTATTTCTGGTGTCGTTGCAACTGTTCTATGTCGACGATTGAGATGGTGGATGAAATTCTTTACTTGTGGTATCGTTGTAATTGTTCCATGTCGATTGAGATGGTGGATGAAAATAATCACGAAGGAGGAAAATCCTTAGTTTACAGTAGGGCGAGAGATTTTGTGATCACGAAGGAAGAAAATCATCTAAAGCGATTTTCAATTCATTCTTTAAACACTCGATCACAATAAATGAAATTTACTTCAGGTAATACACAATTTTGAATTACTTGCTGTCCTAATAATCTCCGATTTGAGATAAAAGAGAGCACGATAAAGTTTAAAACTTAAAGGATTGTAGGGCTTTACCCTGGGTTAGAGGGAGCCCTTCCAGAAATTCTCGACGGCGCCGGGCTGAACCCGTGCCGAGGAGGGGGTTTGGAAATAGTTTTCAACCAGCAATTGACGCGCCTCGGTTATTACCTCATTAGCTGCGTCATTGCCCCAAGCGCAAAGATGCCCTTCACACCCCCACCATGCCCCTCTTTTATACCCCTCCCGTTCCCGCACACTCCACTGTCTAGGCGATGTGGGACTAAAGATGGGGTTCTCACAACAATAGATGGGAGGAGTGAGGGGAATTTGTTAAAAATAAAAACGCCGTTGCCGGGGATCGAACCCGGGTCACCCGCGTGACAGGCGGGAATACTCACCACTATACTACAACGACTTCGGTGCTTTCCCTCTCCTTGCTCTATTTATGAAAAACATATCAGGTCTCAAAAAGGCTTTCTCTCTATCCGAGAAAATTTAGCTAGACTTGAACTATCACAATCTCATGAAAAAAGTTTTTCATTTAACGTTTTCATCAGAAGTTTGATTTTTCATAATTCAATGTATATTCCACGCGTTAGCTTTTAGTGAAAAACGGCCAATGTGAGGATGAGGAATTAAGAAGAAGAAGAAGTCCTCGTCGTTTCAATTTGGTCTTTTCTTTGCAATGGAATTATCAGCTTAGTTTTCGTCCCAATAGGGACGGGACAAAATCTTGTGATATGAATATCATGACGATTAACAAAAAATAGCAGTAGGGCTTCAGATTAACACGGTGATGCTCGTTGACGTGCATTTCCAAGAGATCATGGTGCGCGCGGTAACCAACTGACTACAGTAATTTAGACATTGGTTGGGTACTTCTAAAGGCGGCAGAAGGATTTCAGTTGCTTCCTCGTCTTTTCTGCAGCTTGCATATTGTTATGAGAGTATTCAGCTGATCATATATAGGCCAATTTGCAGATTATTAATTATGAGCGTAATCAGCAGTTACGTCACAAGCATTATATGCAGAAACGGGTAGGTATGCGCAGCTAGCTCGGAACGTAGCAAAGTCTTTTTTATTATAATATATATGAAAATATACAATATGAAAATCAGCGATGTGCTACATTATCTATTCCTTCAGACATAATCTAACAACCACCAACTAATTAAGTACTATATGTACACATGCATATAACCAGTTGATTAAAATATTAATTTAAATTAAAAAAAAAAACAATCCAGCGAGCTATAGCATGTAGCAGGAGCGATCCGGACGGTTTTACCGTCGGGACTCGAAAAACCATACCAGTCGACGTTCTTGTCCTGGAGAGCGTAGGCTCCGAGCTAGCACGGTGATAATTTACTCCGTGTGGGCTTTTGTGTGTGTGTTTGTTTTTGGGTGGCGGCATAGCCCACGGACACTAGATAGAATACTGCATGTTCCATTATGCACCCTAACTTTCACAAAACATTACCACAAAGAATCTATTAAAATGATGTATTGGTTTACGTCGTAAGGAAAATCAGAACTTTCTTTATTTCCCTCACCTTGGTGAGGAGTACAATCGTAGTATGCATTTCTAATCGTACAACATCATTGAAGAATGGACTACAATCATTACCACGACAACACCGTCCAAAAACCATACGTCATTAAGGTGGCTTCACTTTGGAGATGTTTTCCAGTTTGAGGTCTCCAGTCACCAGCAACCGAGTCGCCTTAACAAGCTCCTCTTTAATCATGAACAAAACTGCCGCTGCAAAGACGCTCTGCACTATCTTTGTGCCCATTCCTTTGTAAAATCCGGGGAAGCCTTCATATCGAATCATCTTCGCGATTGCATCACACGTTCCTGTAATTTGACACAGCACAATGTGAACTTCAAAAGAAACTGTCATTTACAACTTAAAGAATCCATAATGTAGGCAACCATGAACCAAGACATTGATATTGTGTACCGCATAACAAAATCCGAAAAGACAACAAAAACAAAGGAAAATTGTGCATGAAGAATGATGAATTAATTTGCAAGTTCTACGATGAAAAGTGGGAAAGTTCATGACGGTGACTGAGGTTGGTCTGTTGGAATTTGAAAAGGTAACAGCTGGTTTAGAATGTTTAAAATGATACAAGCATCTATATTATCAAAGATTCAAGAGGTCTTATGGCTTAAGGAGGAGGGCCTTCTAATTTTGACTTCAAAAGATCGGTGTAATAGTTTAACCAATTGAACCAGAAAGCAAAGCAGTAGCAAAGACATGCAAGTTAAAAAAAAAAAAAATCCCATTCCTCTTATTCCTTTTTTTTTTTAAATTACTTCTACCTGTTAGGTGTGCACAGAAGGTATGAAATCTAGCAGTTACTCCAGAAATACAGCAAAATGACGTGGTACCTTTATATTGGTGCCTCTTATCGACATCAACTCCTTGTTTTGCCTGAAGCCTAGCCTGAAGTAAGGGGGAAAGAAACAGTTACACACTATGGAGTTTGAAAGACCAACAGGGTGGAAATATACTGTTTATGTAACTTTAATAGGATAACACTTTTTATTTGGGAGAGACGGGAGTTATCTTTTAAGTCAGTAGGTAGATGAAAATATATGCTATATCAGTTACATTTGCAAGCGGAGACAGAAGTAAAGACAACTAAGAGGATTTTAACAAAGAAGAGAATCAAGAAATAAGTATGAGCAATTACCTTGACAACAAGAAGTGGATATGTCACAAGAGTAGCTCCTAGTTTCGCAACAGCTCCGAGAAGAAAAATCTGAACAGGGTCTCACTAATCAGAAAAATAATAATTTTACAACATCTACCAAAAGAATGATAATAACTTTGACCACAAAATTAAAATATACGGAAACTCAAAGAGTATCTATGTTGATTCAAGAAACATGCTTTTTAATAAAAACAAAAACATAATGTATCCAGTGAACCTGTACATGAAAAAAATCTACAAATTGCAGACAACGTTGAAACAATCATTGGCTATAATCATTCCTTTTGTTGGCTAACATACATAAATGAAGATCGCATCATGGGAGGATAAGAAAATTTTGACAACTTCAGACAGACAACACATGATTGGTGCAGGCGTGCAGCATTCACTTAAAACATGACTTCAGAAAAGAAGGACCTTCATTAAACCAAGGCCAATAGTGATTAAAGAGATGGATCATGAACATTGAGCTCGTGCAATGAGACAATGGTCAATCGAAAATTCATACGGAATATTAACGACAAAATGGAGAGTGAAGGAGGCAATTTTAAATTTGATAGTCATGATGTATAACAAGCACAAATTATCACCAAATGGACCAATATAAACTACTCAGTACTCACCTTAACCCAATTTCTTCAATAAGATGTTAATGAAGAATATTCAGTGATAACCCATATTAAGAAGAATACATATGCCAATCTACTCAGTTGCTAGTTCAATGGTTGCTTCTCCAAAGCAACCAGTGGTATGAGGAAAAGGAAATCATCAGTCAAACTTCAAATATATTGGGTTCGTTGACAATCCCTCTGTTTTCCTTTGTTCCAGGGGAATGAGATTCAGGGACTTGAGCCTTCAACAACGTTTCATATGCTTATGTTGGAATTAATTAAAAACTTACTAGTATTTCTAAGTTAGCTAGAGATGTACCTCAAAAGCAGTAAATCCATCAGCTCCCTTCGCATTTGAGGAACGTCTTTTCTTCAGTTTCTTTAAGAGAGTTTCGTACAACATGAATTGGATAGAAGGATTGCTAACCTGTAATAGCATGTGTTAAAAGGCAAATGCTCATCCACCTGGAAATTTGCAAGAATTATTTGGTACCAACCATTATAAGTGTGGGGATCACACCCTTCCAGAAACCCCAAATTCCAGCTTCATCATAGAGTTCTTGAACCTATAAATGTAAGATCATTAGGTCATAGCTTACTGCTTACATTAGTCTTTGAAGTAAGAGATTGAAGGCAAGATGATAAGTTGATGATGTTAGTCTTGTTAGGTCTCATGTTTATGAGCCTACTCCCTAATCTTGTTTTGATGATTACAAACAATTCCTAACAACGTGTGTCAAATGTTTGCATTTGTTTTGTTAGGTAATCTACACAAATATCCAAGTCGGAGGTTGGTTGGATTGAGCCTACACGATCATATACATTGGAGGATGGAAGGAAACTGGAGTGAAGCTATGCACAATTCAAATCAAAGATTCAAGTTCAAGCTTCATCCATGTTTACCAAGACGAGCATATCGAAGATCTCTTAGCTTGGGTATATTAGTTTTAGGAGTTTACTTTGTGTGTTAATACTTTAAGCTCATTTCATACACGTACACACAAATTGTGGATTTATCACATTACACATCGTTTTTGTTAAAATATCATGTTTTTGGATTATAGACTAAATATAATTATTTTACATCTTTTCCTAAGTCTATTAATCCATTCAAAAGGATTTGCAAACTTGTTTGAAATTGTTTTTGTCAAAATCAAGTATTTAACATTTTTGCCTTTTTGAACGGTTTACAAAATAAATTATATTTTACAAATGGGAAATGAAATTTGAGAAATTCTTTTTATAGCATATTCTATTACATGTTTACAAACAATTTCCAAAATTTTATCATTTTTGGAGTTGATTTGCTATGTCAAATTGATTTTCCAAAATTTTATCATTATTTATTTCATTCTATCATTTTATCATTTTCCAAAATTTCATTTTATCATTTTCCAAAATTTTATCATTTTTGGAGTTGATTTGCTATGTCAAATGAAATTTTATCATTTTATCATTTTCCAAAATTTTATCATTTCCGAACTCTGTGATCATATTGTGTGTTTGAGTTTGCCTTGACGCATTATTTTTGCTCATTATTTATTTCATTCTATATCGCTATTGCTCATGTTTATCTCACCCTTAGTTTAATATCCTTGCATATATCTTGTTGTATATCTATCTTGCTAGGATATAATTGTTAAAGTTTTTTTTAATTGGTTTTACATCGGATTAGATTAGCGTAAACTCTATTCCACCCCCCCCCCCCCAAGGGTGCTTTCAGATGAAATTGTAAGTTGCGTATTTTAAATAGAGAAAAACTTCATTAAAATATGTTAATATGTAAAATGGTTGGGAAAAAAAAAGATTTGCGAACTCTTATGTTCTATCTTTGTTAGCAAGTTGGTACTTTGTTCAAAGGAAGAAACAAAAGCCGAATTATTTTTTGTTGTTAAACAAAGGTGCTTCTTTTTATGTTTATTGAAAGTATGGAATAGTTTTACCCTATATGATAAATTGAAATGGTGGATTCAAGAGAAATAACTCAAGTCATATCATTTACAGTTTTCTCCCAAAATATTCATACATAAATGCTTCTTACATATAAAGGGTAAAAGGGTCTGGTACAACTTATGTGAATTAGTTCTAACTAATTATACCCCATCTTAAAATAAACTAAGATCTTCTGTAGAGTTGTCAATTTTGAGCAACTATTCGGTATGCGCGCGCATGAGGTTAGAAAAAATGTTACCTCTTAGAAAGTAATCTTGCAATTGCAGATGACAATTACAAACGGAGTGTTGACACTGAACAAGAAGGAACCTTGAAATAGGTAAATCTCCTACAGAAACTATGGCATTCTGGGACCAAAACTCTGCCACAGGAGAGGTTTGGCCTGTTGTATCGCGCCCAAATTTCCTCTTTCTACAGAGACTTTGTTATACTTTACTCCGGTTCATAATAAGCAGCTTGACTATTTGTCTGATTAAAAAAGTTCATCAGAACTATAATTTAATTATGAGAAATTCACCCACAAAAGCTAAGTTGCTTGCAGGCTTTTAAAATAGCAGACGGGCTATAAGATGCCTAATCTGCCACATGTATCTAATCAGTGCAGTCCTAGTTCAAATAAATCACCTCACATACAGGTTCATGTGATACCCAGGCCTATGCTCAGCAAAGCCCAAATAGTTTTATCTATGCTCTACTAAAGCCCAAGTAATTTTAACCCCGATCACAAATATAAAGAAAGCCTATATTGCAAAACGTCTGGGATTGGCTACAAAAATCTTTTTTCCCCATGCAGCTATCATAGGAACCATCTCCTTATTAGACTAGCAACTATCTTAATTTTTAATGCCTCAAGTTTGGTTTTCCCCCAAGGTCATGTTGTCTCTACTACAATTATATGGCTCTATGCATTAAAGCCATTTTTCTATGCATGTTTTCCTCGAGCGAAGTTCTTTCTGATTTCTTATCAATTTTCTCATACATTATCATTCCTTTGGTCTATTGATATTCATCTGGCTATGAAGGATCCTGCGACATGTTTTAACATAATTGCCACAAGAATTGATCATCTTGCCCAGTAACTGAACACCAGCCTTGTTCAATCTAAGAGTTAGCTCGAGTAAGTTCAGATGCATACCACATCGACAGTTCCATAAGGTGGAGGCTCAATTCCAGCAGTTAGGATTGCTTTATCTGACAACAAAGGTTGTCTAGGTGGAATTTGTTTGCTCTTCTTGTGAGTCTGCAAAGTGTACAAATACAATCCAAAGAAACAAAGTCAGTACACTAGCTTGGGGTTATAAACTTAATCTCACTATGGGATTCAACAGTAAAGTTAACAAAAACTGATTGCATATTATTATTTTGGAATTTGTTAAGGATTTATATAACCAAAAAGCTCATAACTACGGTGTTTAACTGATTTCCTACCTGCATACGTGTAACTACTACCCATATCGGGTTTGTCAGTAGCACATTCACACATCTGCATCAAGAGAAAAGTGAGATAAGTGAACAAAACAGAACTAGATGGGAAGGCTCATGTCAACAAAAAATAGTATAAATAAAACATATCCAAAAGTAGCGCTGGAATTGAAGATTATTTATGGGTCTTCATTTAGCCCTTAAGGAGACGTGTAGGAAATTTTAGACAGGACAAGAACAATGATCTGTAAGCCTCTATTCTTGACTGCAGATAGAATGAACACAATGCTCACAATGAAAAGAATTTAAATAAAGAGAATCAAGCAAACAAGTTATCAGTTACAGTAAGTTGGAGCAATTGACATAAGAGATGGTACTACCCAGATAAAGCCGCAACTACAAGTGACTGGAACATCCCAACCGACCCATCTCCAACCCCTTTCTTCCAACGATCAAGAGCAGTGGTTTCCGCCCTATTCCTAAATATTTGGTAGAAATAGTAATAAACACCCTGAACAAAGAAATACTACTCCATGAGCAAACTGTTCAATGCAGTATGAAAGAAGTAATAAAATAAAAAATAAAAGAAAATAATCCTAGCAACAAAATGAATGCGGTTGACTGGAGCAGGTAGTAGAAATTGCATAAGGATTAAGTAACATGAGAGAGAGAAAACATGGCTCGCTGTCATAGATAACGGAAAAAATGAGTCTCTTGCTACAAGTTTTTTTTATTTTTTTGAAAGATTAATTGGTGCAAGATTTGACTAATTCGCCGTGAAGATACACTCGGATGCATCTTAACAAGATAAAAGATTAGACCATAAATGAGCAACGGTGATGCAGGCAGAGATGACTATGATTAATGTTCCTGCTAAAGATCGTAGCTGACCCACTTGATCCAAACTGGTAGAGGAACCACAATTCTCTCGGGTAAAACTAGGGCTCGTTTGATATCAAGAGTTGGAGGTAGGTTGAAGGCATACTGAGTGTCAGGTATTATTTAGGAGGCATTACAGGAGTCATATCAAGAGTTAACAACTGCCAGGAGCTTCTCATCAGGAGTAGAAGAGAGCTAATCAAATAAATATTTCCAAGAAAATGTTAAACGTTTCCATTGATACCCAATCACTTATTACGTGCTTACTCTACATTATTTTTTGGTGGTTCGCAAGAGTTAAGAGCCTAAGAGGGGGTTAGGATGCTAATGCCTGCTGAATTTTTTTTATGCCAGATCGTGTGTCGTCCTCTCTACGCGCGCCATCGCGGACATGGTTGATCATAGATAATGATTTCTGAAAGGGGGAGGGAGAAAAAAAAAAGAAACTTGCAGAAATGCGTCGTTTGTACGAAATGCTCTGCCATTCAGTTAAAAGCATTGATATAGGTTTGGCGAAGTTTTGTCCGCGGATAAAAGACACACAACGATCATAGAGGCGCACATCACAAGGGAAGAAGATAGGATGCAAGCAACAACGGCAGAGAAAGAAGAGAATCAAATAAATAAATAAATAAATAAAACATCCGATTGAGCAGGACCATCACATGCGCATGTTAGCTCACCTGAGACGCCGCCGTGCCGACGAGCGAAGGGGCCAATCCACCGTACAATCTACCCCATCCTTCGTGCTTCACAACCTACAAAAAGCCCCCATCGACTCGTCCTGTTATTGGAAAAAGCAGAGAGAGAGAGAGAGGAAAAGAAAAGGGGGGTGAAATTTATCAGAGTACCCGACACATTTGTTGAATAGTTCCGTCTTTCCTCCTGGATCTGGACGGATCGCGCTCAGTCTGCTGCCGAGTGTTGACCTAATTAAGATCCCACGTCGAATCAATTCCAACACGAAAATAAATTAGGGTATGCTAGCAAAGTTCAAAAGGAAAAATAAAAAAAAAGAGGATGGAGAGGTGGGGATTACCTGTTTGATAAAGGGTAGGTGAAGGGTAGGGGATGATTCCTCGCCCGGCGGACAGCCATTTGATTCAGAAAGATCGGACATGAATTATTTGATGATCCTCTCTCCTCTCTCCTCTCTTATCTTTCTTGGCTTCTCGATCCTCCCGAAATATTGGGAGAGCGGAGAAGAGAAAGGCGAGGGGGGGGGGGGGGGGGGGGGTTAATGTGATTGAGGAGAAGTGGTTTGAGAAGTGATGGAAACGGGGATACGAGGATTGAGGACGGAACGGGCATTGAAGAGAACGACTTGAATTTTGATTTGGGCAGTTTGAGCTGCTGAGGAGGCTAGCTTGTTTCTGAGTTTGATGGATGCACGCGCGAAGAGCATGCGGGTGGTGATCTTTTGCTTCCGTGGCTTTCCGCGTGCGCTCTTATCTTTTACGTGACAGGAACCATGCGGTAAAACAGTTCATTTTCGGAGAATGGTACACGTTGTCGGAGATTACACGCTATCTTTTGTGCATATCGGAATATCAATATTTTCTATGACGTTTTCGGAGTGCAAATGTATCGCTGCGAGAGTCGCGATCTCTCTTGAGAGAATAGCTTGGTTTTAGCGAGGTTCGTTTGTCCTCATATTTACCCATCATCAATGTAAAAGAAAACATTAAATTGCGTGTTCATTTAATAGAGCTGTTATATTTTCATTATTCTACTAACTGTTGACCTTTGTCTGTACTTGGAAAACTATTGCCGGCTTTGGTAGACGCTAATAAAAAAAACATTCTCATATGATGCGTTATACCCTTATTCTTTATTACACCACCTCTAAAATGTCCATATCCTTGTCGATCTTTTACTACTCTCGAACTTCTTAACTCATCGTATGATTTATTTTTATTTTATTTTCAACCTAAATGGAGCGTTGAGCATGTAACCAGGCATTCTAAAAGATGTTGCCGACAATTGTTGTAAATATTCATGACATAAGATGAATTAATGAGTTTGCGCTCTGTATGGTGGCGTTTGAAAGTATTATATGGGGACTCTCTTGAACGTTCTATTCTCAATTTGTTGCCCATACCTCCGTACGTTGTTCCTCCTACGACCGCAAAATGGCTTGGGCCCTGCCGAAAGCATTTATCGGTAATGGTTGGGGTGGGCCTGAGGGCGTTGTATATCGCTTCGATGAAATTTATTACAAGAAACTAAGCTCCGGGGCCGGTAGTTGTGGGCTAGAAATTGACGAGCGAAGATACAAGGGCTAAGAAACTCAACCTCGCAGCATACGAGCTTGTAATGGGCCATGGACCGCATACCACTACGTCCACGTTTCCAAAAATTAACCCCGGTCGGTGATCACACGCATCTTGCATAACGTAAGCATGCTGACCACACCAGAATCAATCCGATTCTGAATCACTCCCTTGGCCTTCATAGTCTATAATATAAATAGAGGGCGTCGGACCTCTCTAGCTCTTCTCCGATATTTATTTAGCTCTGCGATCAGTTGTAATCATGGCATCAACAGCTAGCCTTAATTTCCTCCGTCTCGATCTCTTCATCATCATCATCTTCTTCTTATGCTTGAGTACCTGCAGCTTCTCTCGGCGACATTAATGGCACGCAAGTATACAACAGCGGTGTCTCTTGGCACCCACCCCTAGCATCGCAAAGTCTCGAATGTACCAGACTTGCTTCAGCGGTAACAGTTGCGGATATATATATACATCATTGGTATGCCTGATGCATGGTATATGCCATATGCCACGCACGGGAAACTACTCCACCGATATGATGCCCTCATCAGCATATTAATTTTCACTTGGCCCATGGGCTGGGCCTCAGCCCGGCGGCGCTGCAGCTGGTGCAGCACGCCGGGAACCTGCCGCTGGTGGCGAAGCCAGTGTTTGGATTGTTGTCGGATGCGGTGTACATTGGCGGGGCCCACAGGGTGCCTTATACATCTCCGTTGGAGGTTGGTGTTCTGTTCTTTGTAGGTAGTGTTTTGCTGTGAAAATTGATTCATCCGTAGGTTGATGAGTACTACAATAATCACAACGTTGGGTGATTTGTTAGAGCATAAATTATAATGCCTTACCTTCTGTCATAACTTTGGAGTCTTTGTGTATTGGTAGGGTGCTTTGACATAGTCTCAAGAATTTAAAACGGATTAAAAGAATATGATACGGGACGCTCAACCTGCGGCGCATGTTAAAGTATAAAATTATAAACCTCATTACAACTTCAGAGTTTATGTGCAGTAGAAAGGTTTGACATGATTAAGAAACATGTAAGAAAATGGGGCATAGCATAGATGAGAATTTTACTGTCGACTCGTGGATGTACACTAAAAGATAGGATGAGAATCAATGTTTTGATAGTGGAAATAAAATGAGCTAGAGTACAAATCGAGATGGTTTGGTGACGGCAACGATGAATAGAAAACGCATGTAATAAGGTTATATCATGTAGCTAGCAAGGAGGGCTAGAGGTACACATAACAGACTTGATTACTCAACATTATAGGTTAACATAATTTAGAGAATATTGGAAAAATAGAATTCATGTAACCCACACAAAAATTTAGAGTAAGGACCAATCTTAGCGTAGTTTTCCGCATTTTACCAAACAGACACTATGCCTTAAGGGGTGATGCACAGGAGATTATATATAGAACATTTTGCTAGCAGATATAATATGATGCAAGGTCATGCCATGTTCATTTAGGACACTCGCGGGCTTGTTTTATCGTTCACTGATGTGGAAGTGATTCATACTCTTCGAGAAGGAAACAGATACGCACATTGTGTTTTCAAGGTGTTGGCCCTACGAATTAGCGTGATTTATTCATTAGGATGCTAGTGGTAGGAATTTTGTAAGACAGTGGTAGTACGTCGTTGAGCGCATTTAACTAGCAAAAATATGTGTTAGACGTACGATATCTCATTGAACAACAGCCCCTTCCAGTCTCTTCAAGCTTCAATTAGCAGAACTACACCAGCTAACACCAGCAAGAAACAGACTATTGATACACATAAATAATATCTAATACTGCACAAATTCACAACAACCTAAGACATAAAATTATACACAGGTTATTCTAGGCTGCGGGGGAAAAATCCTCTTAGAAATCCACTGGAAAGGCCTCAGCAAGTGCGCTCTCTTCTTTCTCCAAAACCATATGGCCGCATTATACTGCTCGTTCCTTATCTTCCTCGTTGCCGCCTTCCAATCGCACTTCTCCATCTCCTGCCTAGCTGCCTTCCCCATAGCCATCCTAAACTCCTCGCTCGATGTCAACCGCTGGATCTTACTAACACAGTCATCAAGATCTCCGGGTGAGAAGAGGAAGCTTGTTTTTCCTTCTTGATCCTCTGGGATGATGTCGGGGATTCCTCCTGCACGAGCAGCGACTACAGGGACTCCGGAGGACATGGCCTCCAGAACAACAAGTCCGAGGGTCTCGGATTCCGAAGGCATCACGAAGATGTCGCCACTGGCATAAGCTTGTGAGAGCTCCTCGCCTTGTAGCATTCCTGTGAATACTGCAGGCATGCCTGAAAACATCTCTTCCAGATCACTCCTGGACAAATATAATGGTGAGCAACTACCCCTGTGTTTCATTTATGAAACAGCCCAGAAGTATAGAAGTGAATGTCACATTGTAGAAAATTAACCAGTTAAGGATCATGTGTCACCATTATCCAGTACATCTGTATATGTATGTGGTTCGGCATAGTATTTCTACAATGACTAATTCATATCTAGGCATCCAAAGACTCCTACATATATTTCCACATTCGATGCTAGACATGGATTACAATTGGTTACGTTTTGAACACTGAAAGTAGGTACCTTAACCCATAGCTAAAGCAGCATATAACTTTGTATCATGACACAGAAATATTTAACCATCAGGCTCATATTTATGGAATATTAACAGGAAACGTACAAAACCTGTTGATGTTTGCGACATCTGACAAAATATAAGCAGTCAAGGTTGAAGCCTGAGCTAGTAGACTAAGAATAGACTTTGTTTCCTAGTTACTTTTGTAGAAGGGCAGTGGATATGATGACTACCACATTTAGCAAAAATACTAGGCATCTGCAAAAAATGTCCAGAAAATTTACCTGAACGGTCCATCTCCTACAAAAGCAATCCTTACCCCTGGCAACCTATCCACAACCCTACAAAGTAGAAACAAACAATTAAACAGTTACAAGATTTAGCAACTCAAATTAAAAAAAAAATTATAATTAAAATGCTCAACACTACATCTGTTTTAAAGAACAATTCTAGTATCTATTTGACTAATTTGGGACATGAATCTCTTAAGATATCTATGTGCATCCAAACCACTCGATTTGCTGGCTAGAAGTGGAATGTACAGAAGTTTGAGAAAACAAGTACATCAAAAGCATGGCATGTTATCCTACATGTCGATAATAAAAGATGTTCTAGCTCATAATGATAAAAATGGGCACATATGCATCACTTACTTTTGCACAAGACACCTGACACACTTGAAATTCAATGGGCACATCCTGAAACTCTACTATAACCAATAAAACTTTTTAAGTTACAGGTCTCAGAATTGCTGAACTAACCTTTTGAGGAAATCCAAACTCTTTTCAACTCCCAAGCGCCCAACATGAATTAGCAATGGCTTTTCTGGTTCTCCATTACTTAGCCTTATGCGCATCTCGTGGTTACGAAAACGGGGGTGGAAGTTATCAGAATCAACACCCTTGTTCCAAAGGCGTATTCTATTTGCTGAAGGAGAAGCAACTTATACATTCAATACAATAGAAGAAAAAAGGAGAGAGAGAAAAATACGTAAAAGTATGTACATTAACCTGATGTCACACGAGCAGCTTGAAGATCCCTTCCGATAGCTGCCGAAGGAACTAGCGTGAGATCAGCAGCTCTGTGAAGAAATTCTTGAAAACACAACAAAAGAGTTTTAGTAACATAGTATGAATCTTGCAAATTAGACAAATCTTAAAAATTGGAAGAAGAAGAAGAAATGCAAAAATTTCTTACTTAAGATCAACCACATGGGCTTTACCAACCAACTGAATGTGTATCTCGGAATGTATCTGTAGGAATAACAAAAGAATCAGCCTTGCTTCTTCAACAAATATCATCTAATACACATGTTAATCATTGAAGAAGAGAGGATGAAGAGAAAAATAGTTACTTCAGATACAAACCTTACATGTTATGCGTGCAGGTTTAGTTCTAGAAAACTTACTTAGCATAAGGTTTAAGTTTCAATCTACAATGGAAAAAAGTGATAGAGAACTTACAGTCCCTGGAAATCAAGAATTTTCGAGTATGCACACTTAAATATCATTGGGTCAAAATGGTCAATAATATTAAAAAAAATCATGGTTATAGCCTATAAAATTATGAAGTTCATCTGATGCCATTGAGTCAAGACGGACATAAATGACCTATATTGTTCGTTATAGCCCATCAAAATCAAGAAATTTGAAGCACGTTCACTTAATTACCATTGATTCGAAATAGACAAAAACAATAAATGTGAATTATATAACCCATGAAAATTGCAAAGTTTGAAGTCCATGAGCTTAATTGATATCACGTCGAGATCAACAAAAATGACCAAAAATTGCGTGTTGCGCATGGGAATCCAGAAAGTTGAATTACA